TCCCGCACAATCCCCTCTTTTCCCTCCGATGCCCGCTAGCGACAATCCTGACCCTTCTACCTGGGGCCCTTGCCCGCTAGCGACCACCTCCCGCAGTCAGGCGGGGCGCAGCGCGAGCTGCATAGAGTAGTGCCTCACGCGCTGGCCAAGGACCCGAGCAGCCTGTGGCGGACAGGACGCCCCCGACCCCGACCCGGCCGATGGAGCGTGGGAGCGAGCCCCCGAGCTGCGCCACATCACCTGGCCGGGGTAGGGGTGGTTAGCGGGGCAGAGCAAGGGTGCTGCCGACGGCACGGCCAGACCCATGACGCTAGACCCAGCTGCCCCCACCAGCTGCAGGAAGGTGTGGGGCAGTGGCCGTGTAAGAGTAAAGGGGGCGCAAATACATAAATATGCCACGCCATCGTCGCTATTGTTGGTGCCTATGGGACACGTCCAGATGGCCCATGGGGTGTACCGATAATACAGTGCGGTACTGCACTACTATTTCTATGCTAGCACATTACTGTACCCAAGGTGTGTAAAACTGGACACAATATGAACAAAATATGGAACAAAATGACATAATCCGAGACAAAAGTCAGATAAAATTCTAACCAACGGTTAGTTTTGTAATAAAATGTCTTCAAAATTGTGAGCGATTTTATTAAATTGTTCGACTCATGTTGTCCGTATAGGACACCGTGGCACTTTATGCCGCCCCCCCCCCTCTCCCTCCAACTCACACGGTGTGTACAGTGTAACCAAAACATAGCAGGTGCGGGGTTTATTGGGCACATCGTACAGGGAGGCCCATCGACTCCATTCTTGTTTTTCTTCTGGTCATTCTGTTCGTACAGTACCGCATAAACCGCATGCAGGCGAGCGCGGACGGGTTGCATACGTACTCGCACGAGGCCGTAAGACAGCTCGGTGAGCGACGATAGGCGGGCCACCCTGTATGTGCTACACGCCTTTCAGTGCAGCCACCTAAGGTGGTCTGATTCCCTGAAAGCCGTTCCCCTCAAAGACAATGAGCATGCTCGGACTTACCACTTTCCGTATCGGCTTTGAGCTCCCCGACATCTTGAAGGGACGAGGGTGCGATTCGTAAAAATCCTGATCCTCCAGGCTAAACTCGTCCGCCGACAAGCTTTCCAGGTCCATGGCGGGACCGCTGCAACAAAACAATGAGATGAATTAGTACCGAGTACCGAGTTGTCGCAGGCCGGGGCACACTACCGAGAACCGCTTCCTTTGGCTGCATAATAGGCTCGACACATGTGCGACGCAGGTGCCCGCGATGGTCCAGCGAACTCTCCTGAATGACGGCTCGGCAGACAGGAGGAGCCGAGAGCTCTGGCGATACTTCATGTAAACTCATGACTACGAAGCGACTGAATTAGGCAGACAGGGGGGAGATGGGAGTCGAGCGAATGAAAGTGTAACGTTTCGCACGCACCGCTCCGGCCCGCCTGGGTCAAGGTGTCACGCCGCGCCCCGCACAAAGGCCCTGGTGCCCACGCCACCGACCACGCCGCGCCGCCTCGCGGCTACCGTCCCGCCTGGTCTCGTGGCGGTCCAGCAGAGTCCGCGCGGCGATGACGGAGGTCAACTTGAGACACTCTGACCGTCCTGATGAGCCTCCAGTCAAAAGAGTCGCGATCCTGTCCTCCGGAGGCCTCACATCAGTAAGTTCGATGAGACTTCCACGACCATATGACCCGCCCGCATGTGTGTTGATGTGTGTGCGTACGCGTGAACCCGTGGATACGCCACTGTCGGGGCGAGGGGCGGCTCGACACTCTCTGGAGCCCCGCCCGGCCCTGGCCCGCCCGTCCATACCCATACCCAGAAACCCAAGACGGTAAGTTTACCCTAAATGTGGCAACGCCGCGTCTCTTACTCGTCTGGCTAGCAGCGCCTGGCCTGGTCGCAGCTCTTGCAGCCCGGCCCAGCCAGGTCCTATACACCCGGGGGAGGGGGAGTTGTACGACCGGCCGGCTCGCCGCCGCTACGGCACTTACTACCACCGCCGCAGCCGCCACCGCAGCGGCCCTCGGCTCGGTTCATTCATACGGCGACGCCGCCCCCCCCTCCTCTCCCTTCCCTTCCGATCAGTCCGCCCACGCCGGCGCATTGTCGCTACACCTCGCCTATGCGCAGCGCAGCACCCGCTGCATGTCATTATACCGATCACGGAGAGATTTTATTTTTCGGTGAAGGGTTCAGGGGGTTGGGGGGCGGGCGGGGGAATTCCATCACACTCATGTCCGAGTCACGCACGGGGCCGGGCGGGCCGGGCACCGCGCGGGGCAGCGCAGCCGCGCAGCGCCCGGTTAAAAATAACCCTCCCGAGCCGGGTACTCGCAACCACCGTCCACCACCTCGCCGAGCTCACCGAGCGCCTGGCGCGCGAGGTGCGCGGTGCACCCAGCTGCACCCCAATGTCACTGCGCCTCTGATGTCGGTTTCGGCTCTGACAGCAGACACCCTTCGCTCCAGCCCCGTGCCGCCGGGTGCCGTCCCGGGGCCCACGAGCGTTTGGCATGACACGAGGACGGCACAACACCGTGCGAATGGCAACCAGGGCTGGCTCTCGCGACGCCCCGCACACCGCGCCGCGGCGCCCCCCACGTCGCCGAATGCGAGACACAGTTTCGCAACGACAAGCCTGCGCGCCGCCAGTGCCGCGCGGGGGCTGCAAGAGGTGGTGTGGAGGGTGGGCGTGGGCAAGCAGGCGCCCCATTCAGTGGCCGGGCCGGCGTTGGAGGGCGCGAAGGCATCCCATTATCCGCCGCACTGGCGTCGCGCCACGGGCTGCACGGCACGGCCGGCACCCGCGCTCTGCATCCGGTTCGGACCGGGCCCTGGGCGTGCAGCCCCACGTGAGGGCTGAAACGTGTCGGAACATTTGGGCCCGAGCCGAGCTACCGCCCCGCCCCGCCCCGCCCCGCCTGCGGTCGCGTCGGACAAGTCGCACTTGCGGGCGGGCTCTGGCGGACTCCGATAAGGCGATAAGCGACTCCGGGAGGAACGTCACACGGGGGGCCCGCGGGCCGCTCCGGCTCCGCTCCGGCTCCGCTCCGGCCCGCCGGCCGCACCGCAACGCCCCTCGGCCGCGATTCACCGAAAAGACAACCTGCTCGCGACACGGATGCCATGTGAGATGCCCGCTTCGGCTGTGGTGGTTTTGATTTGCGGCGCGGTGACGTTTCGCCAGAGATGCTGCCGATGGCGTAAACGGATGACGATAGGAGCACTCCCCCTTCGCGAAACACTGCATGTGGTGCGTAATATGGTGTGTGCCCGGCGACCCGGACCACCCCTCCCGGCCATGGTCGCCAGCAGGGCGCACAGGCGCGCTTTCTCTTTCTCGGGCTTCTTTCGGCAAAAATATGTTTTTCTGCTGCCGCGGCCATAGCGAGCCATTGGCTATTGGCCGTGCGAGGCTGGCGCGGGGTGGCTCCGGCCCTGGGCGGCCCTGGGCCAGGCCAGCCCGGCCGCTATCAGATGGCGATGAGCGCGACAGATGCGAGCGGAACATTCCCCCCCTAACGAGGCAGCCGGTGGGCCCAGCCGCGTCAGCCGCGTCACGCGGTGGTCATGGTGATGGTGGCGGTGATGGTGGTCGAGCCGGTGGTGGTCGCGGCGATGGGCATATAGCGCGCATAGGGCAGGTGGGCCACTCCTCCCCGGCCCGGGACGCTGATAATTGGTCATCACACACAGCGGGGGGTCACAGCCGCCGGGCCGCCTCCCCCCGAGCGCCGCACTGTGTGGACGGCGCCACCGGGAGGGGCGGCACGATGAAGAAGACCACTGCTGCAAAGTTCTGGGTCAGGAGACAGGAGCGCACGGTGTGCGCTGTGTTCTGGCGTCTCTAGCGCGCCTGCACACGTGTCGGACTCTGGTGAAGTTTTTAGACAATCCTCAGTGACTGTCTCCACCCCAAGATAAAAGTTTAAAGTTCCCCGCCCGAATTTTCATTAAGATTGCCGGTTGTGGTGAACTGTAATGTCGAGATACAGTCCAAAACTCTTGCTCTAGGTTGGCTCATTTCGCCCCGCTTATTCTGCTGGTGTAGACTGCAAGGGCCGAGGGGGGCTGCTATGTATTATATGCAACTTAAGGTGAGGCTTGGGTGAGATTTAGGCAAAATCAGCCGAAAAACAGTAAGTTGAGTTTACAATCTAAGTGTGAAGTAAATCAAGGAATGTCTCTCTATACGAGTCTAAGTCAGTTCGTTGCGGATCTTTTAATGTATATAATGCATACATATGGGAGACACCCGTTGCGCACTGAGTCTCTCAAAAATCCGATTTTTTGGTAAAAACGTATTTATTTATATGGAAACCGTTCGGTGGATCTTCAGGCGCTTAAATGTTTGTCTTTTTTAAGGTAAAAGCAGCAAAATACTAATTTTTCGGTATCCGATTTAGCAATTTCACCCAAGCCTCACCTTAATCAGGCAGCACAGTCGTGGGCGCCGTGTGAGTAGGCAACTAAGTTGCGCGCCCGCATGCGGTACTGTCTATCCCCCATGCGTACAGCAGCCTGCAGTGAGGCCCGTGGGGAGCAGCCGCCTGCAACGTTGGTTTTGTGGGTTGGGGGAGGGGGTGGGTAGACCATCGGGGGGCGGGGGCGCCATAGGCGCCCTGGCTTGAGGTCCAGCCGAGTGCCTGCCTCCTGCCTCGCCCCTGCCACCACCCGAACGGGCAAAGAACAAAGGGACAGAGGGTCGAGCTGAATGCCTCACTCCAACCTTCAAAACGTTGCTAATTTGTGTAGCGCGAGCGCTGCAGTATCAGCAAAGCGAGCTCAGACATTTCTAAGAAATTGGTCGTCGACTCATAGCTGTATAGCATACAGATACGCTGACCTCGCATCTGTGACTCTCTGTATCTACGTTCTGTCCATAGCCACTGCTGCTGATCACCCATCGGGCAGTCCTGAAAGACGTTGTCCGTACGTACTCCATCTACTCCTCTCGTGGCCTCGTACTTAAATTTGTTCTCACTCGGTTTCCAAGAGTATCGGCCTCTTCGCCTCCCCTCGGCCCAGCCCCCAGTTCTCGAGGAATACTGGCTGCGTCTGATGATCTCTTGATCTTTCTGTCTGATGTGAACATGAGACACATGAAAAGAAGGGCCCGGCTCGCCCCGGCCCAGCTGGGCTGCTGAGTGGAGGCGGTGGAGGGGGAGGCCACCAGAGCACTCAACAGGTGCGGACCACCCGCCCCTCCCCCTCCCCCGCGCCAGCCCTCGGGCCGGGCGGTGGCGGTGGTGCGCAGGCAGGCGAAGCAGGCGGCAGGGATTTAGATAGTGACATCCCCTCCCTGAGCTCAGCCTTAGCGGCACCATCGAGCAAAAATCGAGAGGGGCAGCCGTCAAACGTATGCATTAGAAGAATCAGTCTGCCGAACTCTTCAGAGAGCGTACGACGGGCGGCCTTCCCCCAGCCCTCTAGGCTCCTGTCGCTCACATCGCAAGGGCAGCTCCGACACATTCTAATAAGACCAGCTTCAACCCCTGTCGGCTCCACGCCCGCTCCGCATTGGGCCTAAAGCTCGGCAGGAGTCCGCACCGGCGGCACCAAGCAACGAGTGCCCGCAGGAAGCGACTTCTCCAAACACTCCTCGTATCGGCACAAAAGACGCTGGCTGGCTCACTCCTCTCTCTCTCTCTCTCGGCTCGGCGTATGGAGATAACGGGTGGAACTCGAAGCCGGACAAACGCAGCCGCCCTGGCTGAAGGGCTGGTCGCGCTGGTCGCGCTGGTCGCGCACAGTGCGCCTTTGTCTCGGGAGCAGATAAGCCCGACACGCCGCAGTAATCTCGGTACGGTGTGCTCGGAATGCAAGACGTATCAACAGCAGATGCGTCAGGATGTCAGTTGACCCCTGGGGCCCCGACCCGACCCGACACCCCTGCCCGCGACCTGTCCTGGCGAACGAGTCCGAGCGAGTCGAGGGTGCAGGTCGTCAGAGGCGAAGAATTTTACACGGTTTGGCCCATTCAAGATTTGGATGTTCTGGATGATTAAGGAGTGTCAAAGGCGAAGGCGCCTTCCACCGGGTAGTGACCAGTGACCATCTCCGAGAACCTGCGTGCAAACACACACAGCGTTTCTTCTCGCGGGGACCTGGGGTCGAGACACTTTGACGGGTTCGTCAGCAACTGAAAATCACGGGCGATCCATGCGGAGAGCTCGGGGTCGGGGCCCAACGCTCGAGCGGAGCGGACCAGAGGCAGAGGCCGGGCGGGCTGTGTATGTCGCGAGCACCACTCACCTCCGAGGGAAGTTTGTCTGCGGTTAATCCAACTCTGGGGCTAGAAATGAAGCACTGAAACACTCCGCGACACAGCGCACCGTTCACTCGAGAGCACGCGCGTGCAGCGCGCTGCATAAACGCGAAAAAAATCGAACACACTCGGACGGCACAAACCCACACGGCACGATCGCAGCGGCGCAACACAACCTCCACGGAACCGGCTCGGCGCACAACACGGACGGCCTGCCTGCCTGCCTGCCCTGCTGCTACGAGTCGGTCCTGCCCCTGCCCCCCGCCCCCGCCCTCGCGCTGCCAGGCCCGGCCAGCAATGAATGAATGGTGTTTACTGCGGTGACCAACAGAGCGCGCGCGCAGCGGCAGTCGGTATGAGAACAACACCATTCAAATGGGGTTTCTCATACTTAACCTGACTGCTACGTAAAGCGTAAGCTTCCAAAACCAAACAAAGCGATTGCCTCTAATTTGTATCCATGTTTCCATGCGTCTGCACTTGAGAAGCCAAGTTTTCTGTGTACCGCGTGCTTGGTGGGTATTTTGAGTAAATACTTAATTAACGATTTGTCAAAATGGGTTCCTGTCAAACCTTTTACTGGACGCTGTCTGAGTAGGCCTTCAAACAGCTAACAGCTGAGCTTACCTGCCTTGAGGGAATGTCTTTACTTTAAGTTGTGTCCAACAAATTCGTTCGTGAAAAAAAATAACAAATAATACAGCATTGGTTTTCAATTTGGTTTGTTAATTTGTCACATCTCTACATTCCAGGCGTAATGGAAAACTATCCTCAAATTGAACCAGTAAAGATTGCTCAAAATGAATATACTGGAATATTTCTGAACAGTTCCACAGATGACTCAGGGAGTCGAGATGAGCCTCAAAATAATCCTCACGCAGTTCAAGTATCATCGGTTGATGAAGACGACAATGAGTTAGAAGAAGAGTGTCATCACCTTTGTGAGGAAATTGAAATTCTTCAAACAAATCACCATGTCAACTTGTATGATAGGCATGTGTTTAAAACGACTTTATCATCTGGTGTGATAGGGTGTCGGCCTCATAATCACTCTTTATGTAGTTTTGTAATTGAAGATGCAATTTTACTAAACTCTTCTTATGCCCACGTTGTAGAAAGAAGTTTGGTGTTTTCCCAATGGCAGAAGGGAACAATCAGTATTAAAATAGGGAGTAGCAGTACAGAACTAGATCGAGCATTAGAAATTGCTCTTCTTGATATGTATGTAGCAGAAAGAAGTGAAATAATTTTGTCTGCTTCCAATAGAAGTAGAAAGATTAGAGATCAAGCTGTTTTACCTGAACCTTGTATTAAGTGTATAGTTGTTTTACAATCCGCAACTAGTTCACGTTTGACAAATCTAAATATTGAAGAAGACTCTTCTTTAGCCTGTCTGAGTGCCAATGAAGAGGACAAATATGAAACTGCACTAGCTGAAAAAAATTGTGGAGTTGCTCTTTTTAAGAAAAAGCAATTTGTGGATGCTTTTCATAGATTTTCTGCTGGTGCTAAAATACTGATGACTTTGGACTCTTTCATCCTTGATGGCGTGGAAATAAATAAAGAGATATCAACACTCTACTCAACACTGTGTAGCAATATGGCAGAATGCCAACTGAAGGAAAATAATCCTTCTCATGCAATAATTTTGTGCAAGAAGTCTCTGGATCATGATCCTCGTAATGTAAAGGCATTGTATCGGCAGGCCGTTGCTTCTTGGTCATTGGGAGATGTTGAACAAGCTGATTCACTACTTATAAAACTTCTAGAATTTGATTCAAGAAATCTTGCAGCAAAACGACTTCACAAAGAAGTCAAAGATAAACTTAAAAGTTATGATGACGAATATTCCAGAATGATGAGACGCATATTTGGAAATAATAGGTGATCTCTACCATTAATTGCTATAGTTAGAGGTGGGCGCTACTCTGTGGCTTTAAAATTCCTTGGTAAAATATAGATGTGAGCTGCAGGCAGCAAAGGAATAAAAATATTTACTCTAATCCTCTACTTTGTATGTCATTTAATTCCAAACACAATTAATGAAGATTAAAGATTCTTATTATTCAGAATAGTCAAGCATTTCAAGCAGATCAGTTAAAGAAAAAAAAAACAACTTATGTCAGATAGCAATCAAAATCTAATTTAAAAATCTCCAAAAAGGAATTTAGTCTTGATTTATACAAAAAAATACCCTTCACAAAATGCACAGGAAACAAAGAAAAATGTATCTCAAAATATACTGGTATGTACCCAATCATTCACCACAAATGATTCCCATGTGTAATAGAGTCACAAAGAGGACACTACTATCAATTCTCTTTTGTCAAAAATGAATTGAGTATATCCTCATGATTAAGTCATTTACGTAATAAAAATGTTGTTCAAAACTCATCTGAAACAATTCAAAAATAAGTACTGTATTCACTTTATCAGTTGTTACCGTAATCACACTCAAAAGTACAAAAGTTCACCTACTTTCCTGCAGAAGAACTACTGAAACTCTATCTTCTATTACAGAAAGCAATAAACCAGAGAGAGTGTAGTTGTTTTGAGCTCGAACAACAGTGAGTGCTTCCCAAAGCTTGGCCCTGAAAAAAGATATTGTTCGAATTACATTACACAAGACAAGTCATAAATGAGAACAAGATATTTTTCACAACTCATATATAATACTGTCAGTAAGACACTCACTGTGAATGATTTGGAAAAGTTTTACAGGCCCAATCGAGGAGTTTAGCACGGGGCTTCCAAGTTGCCCTGTACAAAAGAAACAAAAGGGAGGAAGATTAATATTCTGAAGTAAAATTATCAATACCTCGTGGGTAATAAGAGTTCAATATGACCTAGGTTGTATGTTCTCTTCTTGAAGATTCTGATTCTCATCTGTTTCCTTGGTTTCATTTTCTGCATGAAGGGCATTACCATTCTGATTGGAATGCAAAATCTCCGAAGAATGTGGCTCTAAATTGTCTGAATCCCTAGCAGAGGTAACTTTTTCATTATCATTTTCCGCCTTAAAAGCTTCATCTTCAGGTGAATGGGCATTAATAACCATGGAATTTTGATAACTCGTTTCATTTTGACAATGCTCATGTGCTTCAGCTTCATCTTTTTTACTTATTTCACCACACACTCGTATGCTATTAGTAGAAATAACAATAGGTTCATCTGATTTTTGAGTGCTATCCTCAATAACGTTTGAAACTGGGTCTTCAGTTTCTTGTGAGTCAATGTATAATCTATTGCTACACGACCCAGAGTCTGATTTAATAATTGATGTTTCATCAGTAAGGCCATCAATGCCACAAGGACTACTGGCATCTCCTCTGGAATTTTCTTCTGAGGTGCATGAAGCATTAGAATTCACGTTTATAAAAGTTTCGACCTCTTTTTCTAAGGGAATGGCTTTCTCTTCATAAACACTTTCTCCAGGAACATTATAAGCGGGAATTTTACTCTCTACATATGTTATTTCTTCGGGGGCCATTTCAGTAGTATCTACAGCAGCTGTAAAGGACATAGTCTTGCTAGCCTCAACAACAGTAGCTGGAGATGGCGTCCATCCGTAAACCTGTCAAAATAAAGCAAAAGTAATGTTAAGTTCACTTTTCAAAAATATCAATATTAAAATTGTACATAAATGATAAACAATATTGGTGAATACTAACTATTGGCTGAGGAACTTCGGCTTTAGCTTCTACAATTGCAGAAATATTTGGTAACTCTGATGTTATTCCAATCATGTCTTGCACTACAGCAAAACCATCGGTGTCTAAGAGAAATTTCACCAGATCTGCAATGGAAAAAAGCATGAGTTTTTAAAAGCAAGAAGTAAACAGTTTATGTAAGAAAGTTTAAAAGTTACAGTATACCTGTGTGAGTAATTAAAGCAGGCTTTAAAACAGGTAAAAGTTCTTTACTAGCTTCCCAGTGCTCTTGTAATTTATAAATAGACATGTATCCTTGTTCCTTGAATATTTCAAGAAAGTACCTTGAAAAAAAAAAGATGAGCTAAGATAGATTTATATAAAAATTTCACAAGTACAAATTAAGCAGATTACTTACGAATAAACAAATTCTTCATCCTTTCCCAATTTTGATGGTAAAGGAACGCTACTGACTTTATGAGGACCCGGCTACAACAAAACACAAATCAGTGAGACAGATGCATGCAAGTTAGTAAATAGAAAAGGCTACAATATACAAGTAAAAAGAACGTCAAATCTGGTTCTTGTACAGGTGCCTAACACCTGACAGTGCGTTCTGCACTTACTGCTTCAGATCCATAACCAAAGTTGTTCTGTCGAGCTGCAACCAATTTTGCCAGGGCATCTTTGTACTGTTGCCTGAATG